GAGAGAGAGACATAGAGACAGAAGGTGAGAAATCACCCCCCAGGGGGGATGGTCATGCCACAATCCCTTCTTCTCCATTCTCCTCTCAGGATCTTGGGCACACACCCACACGCGACCAGCGTGAGTTTTAAGCCACCGGGTCAGGATGCGAACCGCGGTCAACTACGTGGGAGTCCAGCGACATAGCCTTTACGCTAACTGCTGGTTCCCAAGATTACTTGTCTTAAACTTTATACATCATATACATATATGCATGTAGTCTTCTGTGTTTTATCTTCTGTCATTCAATATTATGTCTGTGAAATTTACCCAGCTGTTCTGTGTTCATTTCCATTGTTGTAAAGTCACCCACTACATCAGAGAGAGAGAGAGAGAAAGTGAGAAATCACTCCCTCTCCTACTCCTCAATCCCTTCTCCATTCTCCTCTCAGAAGTTTGAGTATGCACACACATGCGCCCAGCATGAGTTTTAAGCTACCAGGTCCAGGACTCGAACTGCAGTCGACCATTTGGGAGTCCAATGTTTTAACCACCATGCTACCTGCCGGCTCCATCACTAGGATAACTTTTTTTTTTTAATTTTTTTTTTTTTGAGAGGTTTTCGCTATAGGGTGCGTGCGCTCACCAGACAGAGAGAGACATAGAGACAGAAAGCGAGATTGGTCACGCCGCAATCCCTTCTCCTCCATTCTCCTCTCGGGATCTTGGGCACGCACGCACACGCGCCAGCGTGAGTTTTAAGCCACTGGGTCTGGGACGCGAACCGTGATCGACTACGTGGGAGTCCAGCGACATAGCCATTACGCTAACTGCTGGTTCCCTAGGATAATTTTTGAAACAAGTCTTTCAATGCACAGATGTTTGCAGATCTGTTGATATATATAACTGGAACTTGTGCTCAGCAGGGCCAGCTGGGTCTGGAATTCAAGCTGTGTGGTCAATCAGGTGAAATCCAGCCACCTTCATCACCAAGCCACAGTCAGGCCCTGAATTCCCTTTCTAAACCCATCACCTCCCCTAGAGGCAGTGATGACCCTGAATTTTGTGCTAATAGCTTCTTTGCTTTTCTTTTTGGGTTTCAAGTCACTTATTTATTCCTGGAAATATTTTTGTTTGCATTTTTTGATTCTATATAACATAAGTGAAATAATTCGGTTTTCTGAGATTTTTCGTTTGTTTTTGTTGTCGTGTTTTTGTTTTTGCCATAGGGTACGAGTACTCACCAGACGAGACAGAGAAGGAAAGTGAGAAACCACCCCACAGGGAGGATGCCCACACCACAATCCCTTCTCCTCCACTGTCCTCTAGGGATTTTGGTCATGTGTGCACACGTGCCCAGCATGATTCTCAAGCCACTGGGTCTAGAGCTTGAACTGTGGTTGGCCATGTGGGAGTCCAGTGCCTTAATCACCATACCACTTGCTGGTCCACAGTGTGCTTTCTTCGTATGCCTGAGATCCTTAGTACAAAATGCTAAATTTTTGTTCTTGCAAACACTGCAACTATTTATATTCATATATACTGTCAAATAAAAAATCAAATCTGGATTTAGGTCTTTGTTTGAAAAGATTATTGGGCTAGCCCTGTAGCCCAACGGTTAAGCCAGATTCCGCGTAGTTGACCGTAGTTTGAATCCTGACCACTAGTGACTTGAAAAACACACTGGGAAGGGAACCAGCAGTTAGCGTAATGGCTATGTTGCTGGACTCCCACGTAGTCGACCGCGGTTCGTGTCCCAGACCCGGTGGCTTAAATCTCACGCTGGGCGCGTGTGCGT